AAAGGAGAGTTCAGTTTTCTTGAATGCATTTAATTCAATCTCCCCCACCTCCCATCCCCATTAAAAATAAATGGTCCTGATTGTATTGAAACCTGTGAAGTGTCATATACTCAAATACTTCAATAATATAACACATTATTTACGAATAAATTTTTGAATTTCAAGACCAGTTTTCCAATGAAAACCTTTCCATATTCTCTTGCCTCTGCTTTTCATTAGAACAATGAGAGTGTTGTCGTAGATCTGTCCTCCACTGGCAATATTGTTTTGATCATTTATTCTATATGATCTAGTATTTTACTTCTGTTAGAAAGAGGAAAAATAAATAAATGGAAGGAAAGACAAATGCGAATAGAATTTCTTAAAAACTTAAGTGACTCGTTCTTCCAGTTGATGCTAAGAAGCAAGTAAGAAGATTTCAGATCGTGTGTCATTGTCTTTGAAAATAATATACGATTCTTTGTTTGAGTTGTGTCCATATTGGTGTGTCTTCTCATGCGCAACCTTTAAACAAAGAAATAATACTCTAGGGAGAATGACATGGTCTGAAACGGGAAAACATTATGCATAAGTCAGTAAAGATTATGTTAACACATCACTTACTGCTCTGACAGTAGTAACCCTTCGCTCCTCGTGGACATATGCACATGTTAGGCCGAACACACTTGCCACCATTTTGACATTTTCGAAGACAACGAGCTAAAGAAAAATAAAAAATTCAGTAACCTTTTTTCTACGCAATCATTTTGAGTGTGTTATTTTACAATAAGGACATACCCTTTTCGCATCTTGAACCATACCATCCATAAGGGCAGGAGCAGGCATTTGGGGCATAGCAGTTACCACCATTAAGACAAGGACGGCTGCAGTAAGCTAAACAATTAAAGACAAAACGTTATCAGAAAAGAAAATATTGGAAACAGAACCGAAGGGCAGCTGAAAAAAAATTAGAGAAACAATGCAAAATAATTTTGGTGGACGCCAAGAATAGCAATTTAATGTGCAAGAGTGCTCCTCTACCGTAAGGGCAAGTTAAAATCAAGCACGTTTCTATGCACTATTTTTGTACTGAAACTGCAGAGTGTTGATAGGAATACCACCTCGCACACAGAACAACCTTTTGTGGTTACAAAAAGTAGAGAGCACTTGCTTCATGCCACAAATGAGAAAATTCATTGCAAGCAAGATGGTAACTTTGCAGCTTTAAATATCTCAATGCCACGAGATAAGTTGTACGCTTTGGTTGGTCAATTTACCACACAGGGATGACCTACCTCATTGTCATTGGGTAATTCAGCAGAGTAGTATAGTAAGACATTGGTTTTACTTTGGGGGAAAGTGGGGGTTAAGCTAGTCTCCTTTTGACCTTACAGGGTTTTGATTCTAAAAGCTTACCCAATATGCAACTTCTCAAATTCAGGGATATGTTTTCTCAATTTTCTTACGTTTCTCACAGTGTTTGCCTTTGAATCCTCGAGAGCACAAACATGTGTTTAGCCCAACGCATTTGCCTCCATTGATGCAAGCAGGAAGACAAGCAGCTATAAGAAACATTAACAAATACTAAATTATCAATAGATATTTTGTAATCTTTTTATTCCTAAGTTAGACTGAAGAGGGTTACCTATCTTTCAATTTTATGTGAATATTCAAATGGTTTATTTCTTCATACTTAATGAATATTAACTATGAACTATGGTTTCTTGAAGAAGGCTGTCAAAAAAAAAAACATTGAAATAGATCTCATTGAAATAGATCTTATTTACATTCATTTCCCCCATTTCTTTTCTCCTGCTATTGTGCCTTTCGTTGCTACTTTCGTTAATGCGTTTCGTTTTTCCTAACATTGCATCTTTCTTTTTTGTTTTTTTCTTTATTTGCTCCTTTTGCTGCGAATTTCGTTACCACTTTCTGAAGCGTCTAACACCATTGCAAGCTAAAACCCAGGAGGCTAAAGTACTTCTCAATTGCTTCATTTTTGTTAACAACAGCTTGAAAAACGAGCAAGTAGTCAGGAGAACTGTCTCACTGAATTGAAATGCAAAGCATGAAAGATAAAAATAGCCCAAAACCTTCCGTTTCGTCGTTACTATTTGACAACAACACATGTTACCGTGGAAACCTGTTTTCTTTTATGAAGCCATGTAGTAATACATGAGTATRCAATGTTATTAGACGCTTGGGAATAAGGTAACAAAAGGCGCAATGAAATGCGCAACGAAAGGGACAACGAAATGTGCAACAAAAGGCGCAACGAAATGGGCYACAAAATGCGCAATGAATTTAGTAATGAAAGGCGCAATGAAAAGTGCAACGAAAAGGCTAGGAGCAGCGAGAGACGCAACGCAAYGCGTAACGAAAGTCGCAATGAAACTTATAAATACTAGTCGTAATGGCAGGGGRAAAGTAGCGTTTCTTCATGGCACTTCTAACGTGTGTATAACTTGTCAATGATATTTACCTCTACAGTTAGGTGGTAGGTAACCTGGTTGACATTTGCAAACATTGGGACGAACACAGGAACCACCGTTTTGACACGACGAAGAACAAATTGCTGCAAAACGAACAAAAAGAACAATTAATACAAGGTCTATGATATAAAAAGGTGCAAAAAAATAAATGTAAGAAAAATTGAGAAATCCTGTGCGTTTCAACATGGCTTGATACTAAAAACCATCGCAGTTATTTGAAACATTTTTTTTCAACGTCGAAAGTACGCCCGTAGCACTGACAACGTCCAGATTGTCATGGTCCTTCAGAGGCGGATTTAATGGGAGGGCCACATCCTACATCCAGAACCATGTACCCACTTCAAGTGTTAGGGATTCTTTCGTAAAGGACGTTGTCATTACATTTGCTCTTCCTTGTGATGTCTATAACTTTGTCTTGTCAAATCTCGAAAAAACTCGCATCAATGAAAATATAACCCTTTTTCAAAGAGATGGAAGTGGTCTGAAGGAATAATGTAGCACTCTTAGCTGAGCCTCAACATTACTTACGTTGTTGGCATTGTTTTCCTGTGTATCCTGTTTTACATTTACAAGTGTCTGGTCCAACACATCTTCCTCCGTTATAACACTTCACATTGCAGTTGACTGTGAAAAAGACAAAGAAAATGATGAAGAGAAATGAAAAAGGAAACAAATGGAAAATGTGAAAAATGGAAAGGAAATGGGAAATAACCCCATGCAGAAGGCATTCTTCATGATCAAATGGCAACTTTGAGGGTACATTAACAAGTGGAATCGACAAAAATGGAAAATGGTAAAAACGGGAAATACATCTCAGGTTTCGCACACGACCTTTTTGACGATAAACAAACAAATAGAAAGAAATAAAAATTCCAATGAAAATACCTTTGTCACATGTAGCTCCATGGTAACCAGCCTTGCATCGACATTTGTTTTGGGTGGTGCAGAAGCCACCATTCAAACAAGGCTGTGAACAATGACCTGGTGAATTCAAATAAAAGAGAAAAAATTATATCACAAGTTTCTGGTTGTTAACCCGACCTAAAGTAGTGAAATAGAGGCTTTACAACATCACGTGATGGCAGCCATGACAGGGAGAGGAAAAATCAAATCTGGTCTAAACTGATTTACACGATAAAGAATTCAGTTTCCCAGGGCCTTTATGCGATGACGACGATCGCGAATATGTGAAAAAAACTACTGTTGGTTCTTGTCGACTATCTAGGTTCCAAAAGATTTTATCACATCGTTAACCTAAACGGGTTAACTGTGGTAATTTAAACTCGTGAGACAGACAGACAACAAATAACAGTGGTTTCACGGATAGATGTTCCCTGCTAGCAGAGTCTCTCTTCTCTTTCTCTCCCTTMTTTCAGGCGGGGAGGAAGGAGACTCTGCCGATGTAGAGCGTTTCCTTTGATACACCGCCGTCCACGATTGTGGACGAACAAAACMAGTTTTAAAACTGGTTTTTAGACGATTACATGTAGTGCGCATGTGCAAATGTAACACACCGTGGCGCCAAACATTGTTTGACGAGAGCGGCTGTCAAAATCATGACAGCGTTGCTAAGTTACGCMACRCATGCGCGACGGAAAAAACGTCCTACACCGGCAGAGTCTATTTTTCTCTCAACCAAAACAAAAGGAAAATAGGCTCTGCTAGCAGGGACGGATAGATGGCGTGCATGCACTCCATATCACTGATATCGCGGTATCACAGATTTTAAGAAAAGTCGATTTTTCACGCTGTGTGGTTCAATTTGGGTTCCCTGTGTCCAAAATTTGAAGCGACAAAGAGTCTAGGGTTATTATTTCTGACTAACCTGGACAGTCCTGTAAACTACAAGGTTTCTCTTCATCTGTTTGTAGAGCCTGTAAACATTCTTTTCGAGGTGGACTATCGTCCAGATTGACGCACATCATTACTCGTCGACGTACACCATTACCACAGGTACGAGAACACGGTGACCAGGAAGACCACTCCGTCTCCACTGAATGATGAAATAAACGATTAAATGGATTAAACGATATGCGTTTATATAGTATTGCGTGAGGTGAACTCTTTCCTCTCCTCTCCTCTCTGAATTGTACCTAAAAACAACAGTGTGGTAGCGCAGAATGAAAAAATGGATGGATGGATGGATGGATGGATGGAGGAACCAGTATTTATACCTTCATCAATGTCGTTTGACATCCCTGATCCTCCTATTTCATGTTCACCCGGATAGTAGCCACTACCAGCAATATTTCGACGATTCATTTTCTGCCGGAAAAAACATATCAGATGGTGGAAATTAACAAAAATGAGCAAACATCCAGCCCCTCCCTCATTCGCGGTCCATGGACCCTGATGAAAGCCTGTTTATCTGGTTTTACCTCGCCAGAAGGAAAAGCGTATTGCATGTATTAGGATCTGCAATGATGGATCTACGATGATTTGCTCATACTTAAAAATCAACCACACCCTAAATCCATTGTTTGATGTAGGTTCTTAAATTCTTCGGAAAACCCAGGTTCTTAAAGCCTGGGGCGGAATTGATATAAACAGGGGAGAACGGTGCTGAATTATAAACCCAGGATAGGTCTTTAATTACACGTATATATTGTAAGCACTGTATTTCCAAAAGAACAAAGCAACAGTAATCTACCTCTCTGAATTCAATATGATTTAGTATTTCGTGTTTTGCATCGAAACAACGGAATTTAGGGCTTAGTTGGTATTTTAAACCAGTTCAAACGCACAGGCTCGGTTTTGCATTAGAATTCAAGTCCGAGGGCCGCAGCCCTAGCGTTTGAACCTTTATCTAGAGAGCCAGTATACAGCTTGTTCCTCTTTAGATTATTCATTACTCTTTATTCAGTAATATTAAAAATTCCAACGGGGTATGGCATTTAAACTCCCCGCCCTGCCTGCCCCGACCCGCCCTTGCTCTTCGGTGCATTCATAAAAGGAAAATGATGAAAATCAGATTAAAAATAAATCCTTTTAAGGATTTAAAAATCCTGTGGGGTTGATAATGCACCTTACCGAAGAGAATGATGGATTGTAACACTGCTGCTTTGCCGCTTGGACATCAGGAATGAAGTACAGCTCGTCTATCTCAATCTGTCAACCAAATGTATGAGCAAATGAAGATAATGAATATAAAAGGCCTCATGTTCACGTGGAAACATAAAAGYGTTTTCACATGTATGRGAGGCTAGTCAGTCGCTAGTCAGTGCAGAACAATAGTTATTCAAATTGGTCGCCAATTCCAATAGCGCAGCGCACTGATTCTAAAAATAGCTTAAAGATTCGGACAAACATTGCATTCTGTTTAACCGCTACGAGGATTACACGAACCGATTTTATTATTTTTACTTAAAGTTACAATGATAACCCATGTAAACTAAGATCAACTGCGATCGGCTGTGAAAAGTATCTGCTGAAAGTAAACTTGTAAGTTTGTTTGTCCGAATTTCGCCTTTGTCTTCGTTTTTATGACGTCACGGTTGCGCTGCGCTATTCAGTGTGTGTATCGTCTATTTGTACGATAATCTAAAGTGAAAGTCTTAGAGACTAATTTCCTATTGGATCTTGGAGAGATTTACTCATCCTGCCCAGGAATGCCTGCATTGATTTCATAGAAGAATTCTTCCGGGGGCCAAAACAATAGACCGTCTTTTCTTTTGCCAAAAACATCCACTGTTTTGTCCCCCTGAGCAATTCCTCTTGGGACTCAGTGCAAAGGGTCTATAAGCCATGKGCCTTATTCACGCGGCAGCCATGTTGGATTGAACAATAGATTCCACCACGCGTAGCCTCAAATTCAAGCGCTTGAGAATTAATTTATGYTGGGGAAACAAAGGTTWTTATTCTCATGAGAATAAACATGGCCGCCGTGTGATAAAGGTCCATTCCGAGGTTGAAGAAAAAACTGGTTTGAGGTGGCATTGCAGTGCATCATGGGACTGTTTTAGGACATATTTCCAAGATGGCGTCTACTTCGTTCCCTAAAACAGTCCCACAAAGCACTGCGATGCCAACTGGACCAAGTTTCTCCTTCCACTTTTGCTCTAAAAGCATTTCTAACAACATCAAATTTGTTATTTTGTGCTCAAAGTTCACCTAATAAATGGAAACTGAAACGATAGTAAATTCTGGATCCGAACTTTACGACTTGAATCCAGTATTTAGACCCTTTTACCTGAACACAATGTTTTCCTTCTTAAAACCACGTGTCATTCCTTTGTTTTAGTTGTATCCATATGCATGTGTCTTCTCATGCGCAACCTTTAATCAAAGAAATGTTACTCTAGGGAATGACACGTGGTCTGAAATAGAAAAACATTGCGCACAAGTTAAAATGATCTTTCCAAGAGCCAAGATTTCGTTGGTTCCGAATTAGACCCCTTGCAGCACGACGGAATGCAGCTCAATTCGGAGAACATAAAAAGGGTTTCCAATTCTCAGGAGATTGAAATTCTTTTGTTTTGTCCTCCAAATTGAGCTCCTTTGACGTCACATACAAGTAGCCGATTTTCATTGGCATGATTAACAAATTCATTACATTTTTTGATAATTCATCTGTGATAACAATACGAGACATGACATTGTAGCTATAGTTAATAATGATTACTTACGTTTTTCTGTCCACGATCGTAATCATGGAAAGGTTTCCCCAGATGAATTGTCCCTGAATGATCCGGAGCAAAGGAAAATCGTCCCGGGAGAGACTTAACTCCAACCTTCTGACAATCCCAATACATTGTAAGCTGTTTCGCCTGAAGACTAAAGGTAGCACTGTGCCATCTATTTAATGAAATTTCCACGTCAAAATCCAACGACCATTGCCGGTGCGCAGAATCYGTGCTCTTGGCCAACTCGAAGGTCAAAAATCCWGACGCTAAACGAAGGCCAAATTGGAGYTTATTCGCGAARTCGTATAAYGCTAGCAGGTAAATGTCGGTGTATTGCACAGGGCGGAACGTTACGGAGATTGAATACTCGTCGGGGAAGAAGTTCTGAAATATTTTAGAGGTCGGCAGTGAGAGAGCTGTTGCACCATGTAAGGTCACGTGTCTAGCTATTCTTGTTCGTGTTCTGATTGGCATGACTCTGTTTGGTTGGGGACTGAAGTATTGGCCAACATTCTTGAT